ACAAATTTTATCATAAGACAGTTAAAAATTTGCCGTAGATCAATATACATTTGCATCTTTTCTTGTGCTGCTTAAGATCCACATAAAATTTTTCCAAAAATAGCCCAGACAAATATGATGTCATGAAATCGTCTTCATGACGTCTTTAAATTTATGTTTTTTTTCTTCCAAAATCGCTTACTGCTTTGCAAAAGTTTTATTTCTTCTCTATCTACCATTTAAAGTTTTCTACTGACAGGACAGTGAAAGCGACAGCTCTTGCACATAATTTCTGGAGAAGACCATAATTACTGCAATTGCTATCAATATCAAACTTCTTCTCGTTGCAAAGAAAAGTTACACACAAAGTACCAACTAGTCATTGGCAGAACTTGGAAAACCTCGTACAAAACTGCTTTCGAAGAAAACGTTTAGAGTTTCTAAATAATTGTGTTGAAGCACCGATCTGTAAGCACACAAAGAAGTAAAGATAGTTCTTATAATTTTTGCTTTAACATTATAGTACTGCAGAAAATTTAGTTGAAGAAAATTTTTTGCTAATGGATGACAATTTCACGTTCGACGAATGTTTGCTGCAGTTATTACTGTATGCAATTCAAGGTTACTGTACATTTTTTTCTAAATAAAAAGTCATCAGTTATTTATTGAGAAGAAAGAAAAAGATTCACCGCCTTTGAGCATAATTTAGTAAAGAAATACAAATAAAAGCAGTATTTTTGAGAAAAGTTGACGGCTTGGCCTTTTCCTGAATGAACCGTAGGACAGTTAAATGTGTTATCTAGACAAGGGAAGATGCCATTTGGCATCTCTCTCATTATTAAGCAGGCGCTCAGAAAAAAATGGTTACGAAAAAAGTACATCTTTGGAAATAACAGTAAAAAAAGATTACATTTGATTGTATTAAAACGGGATAAGAACAAACTCTATATTATAAGCCTGCTGTGTTTCTTAGTGGCACTTATAAAAGCCTTTTGGAGTTACTTTCACTGGGAATTGGAAAGCCGAGAAAAAACGATTTAGTCATGTTTACCATCGTTTCAAAAGCAATAATTTTTCTTGGGACTGCAGTCACAAGTTCACTGTAAAGCATTTCATAGACGGTTAAAACTGATACGAGGATGTCTCACTGATTGTATTAGTTATGACTAGAAGGTTAGCCGTATTACAAAACTTAACAGAAGAGTCTGTTAGAAAATTTTGACCGAAACACTGAAAATCAAAACATTTGATTTAGCACCTCGTTAATCTTCAACCAAATAAATACACTTTCTAAAAATCTTACAATGAAGAGCTTGCACTTTTTAATATTAAGAGATCCACTACTTTAAACCACCAGTTTTCCCCAAGGTTTGGTATGTGAAATTGCATAAAAAAATGCGTGAAAACCGTGAAAGGTTTGCACTAAGATTGGAAACCTGCAAAAAACAGTCTTTAAAACCAAACATAGTTGACATGAAGACCAAGTACAATCTTCAGTATGGCCTTCTAGATAGAAAAGAGATGCACTGTCATTGTATCCACCAACCATTCTGCTTTTTCCAGCTATACACTTTCACTAACCAACTGTCTTTTCGATTTGCAGAAATTATACCGCTTTTTTAAATTAAGTATTTCTTGTTATTTTAAAACGATCGCTCTTAAACATTTAGATATCTCAGACGACTTAGAGTTCTTCAGATTGAAAGCATTGCCAATCTCGGCAATACAACTTAACAGTGCAGACTCCTGCAGATTACTCCTCTTGAACTCCACACTGTCTCCAAAAAAGAGGTTACAGCATTTTAACCACCTTAGTCAAATTCAATCTCATGCGTTTGCATATACCTACAGCTCTTAGCAAGCGATATGTAAACCAAATATGCAGAACGCTTGTTATCGAAAGTGACCACTCCAAGCAGAATGTGTGCAAGAAATTTTTACACCAAAATACACTTTACACTGAAGTTTGGAAGACAACGGTTACCAACAAGCTTGTGTGTCACAGAGAAATGATTTGCGAATTCATAATTCAGCATGTTTTTTCCCTGTATTAACGCAAATCAAAAAAGCGCCGACCGATAACCTTGCTACTTGGGATATCATTCAAGTAAGCGGTTTTAAGCGCTTAGTTGTACATTGAGTTTTCTAAACATCGATTTTAATGAGAAAAGTAAACACGAACGAGTTGAAGTTACCGTGCTAGCCACTCAATACTCGTACATTTACAAACAACTTAGATTGGCAAGACCTGCATTTATTCAAACTGTATTTTTTTATAGGCAAAAATTAGTGTACATTATCGCTGAAGAACTTCAAGGAGCTCAAGAAGTCAAAAATGACGAGATCTTATTTGGTTTGAAGTTATCCGCAGAAAGCGAACTAGTGTAAACAGTAATCGTCAAGTCGCCCAAAAGAGGTGGGAGTATGATCTCTATTTTTGTCAAAAACTGCAGAGGTACTTTTCGCCAAGAGGAATTTGAGGAACCGTATCATCAGAACACGTCACCGAGAGCAACCGGTAACTGCGCTACGAATCAAACCCTATCAAGGAAGCACCATACATAGCGGGAAATTTCAACTACCGGCCTACACTGGAAATTTTACCAACCAGATCATCCCTTACCGCCATTGAGGAGCTCTACACCAGCTTGCTATGAACAACAGGTAGATTTGGTAGACAGTTATCTAACTCATCCCCGGCTGGTGCTGGCGGTATCGAAAGGATATAAAGGCCTCCAAAGACCAGGACTAAAGCAATCCCAGATGACGATGTGGCAACAGCTTCACTTCCCGCCTAACTGTCGCCACACCCAACCGGAAACACAATTAAGTCGCATTGAAGAGTTAGGGCTATTGAAGGAATGCGGTTTCAAATGCATCCGTGATGGTCCTATGTTACTGCAACGGGTCAACGCACTACTTAAAAAAGACAAATCGTTCTGTTGCGATGTATACGGTAAACCAATGTCAGGGACGCAAGGCTGACTTCACAGTCCTAATCTCCACCCGATTGGAACAAACAGAAACTCTCACGCCCCAACGGTGCAGATTGATCCTGGACCCTCAAAAAACTACAGTTGCATTCTTGCTAGCTCGAAAACGCATTAATTATTAGTGAATGTAACATTTTAGGCAAATCCTAGATATTCATTTATTTAACCATACACCAGGTTACTCGCGACTTGGCCAATTTTTACCAACAGTTGCGAAAACGAGCCTTGAATCCACAAGCCATCCGAGAGTGAGCTTTCACTATTAGTCTTGTCATCTAGATACTTTACTGTGTTACATTTTTGTATTTAATGTGCATTTGCTGCTTTTCTTGACATCAGGCTGTTTCACTAAATTTTCTCTAGTCATGATCTATCCCTCTTACAATGAACTCTCGTGAAAAAAAAATTTACTAACTGGTGCCTAATATTTAAAAAAACCGATATTTCATCATTAGCTGTCCTGCGTTATCTACATGTACTGCTGTTTTTTCTCTTATCACCAAACTTTCTTCCCCTAGTTGAAAAATGCCGGTTGCAGAGCGGGTGGTAGCGCGTAGCAAATAAGGGGGCAAAACGCGGATCCGAATGATCAAAGCAGAGAAGATCTAACTATCTTTTTCCTGCTGCGGAGGATGGTGTGATCCGCCACAAAATAACTAATGTAATGCTTATCGTTTATAAAATGGCAGTTAAGAAAAAAAGTAGATTTGGTTTCCAGCAACTTCGGTGAGAACCACCAACGGATGAGGATTTACACGCTGTCAAGCATCGACTGGCAAACATCACTGCTTCTTTTGACAACGGTCATACATTATGAAGTCTCTGTTTCGTTGGGCGTAACTTTGCTGTTTCTTTCAATTTTTCACAGTACGGATGAAAGTTGTTCTGTTTGCCTCTGCCCACTAAAGCCACTCACATAAATTATTGTCGTGAACCCGAAGGACAGAGGCTAAGCAAGAGGGAGAATAAAAGTAAAATTAAACTAAATGGATTCACGACACTGGAGAAGTGATAAGAAAGTGGACCGAATAAACGCAAAAAATTGGCAGCGGTTTACAAATATACCAGTTAAATACCATCAGCCCGAAAATCTGAGATTTTTCAGTAGACAGCAAACTAGTAAGAATAAAAATATGATCATTCTCTTCAGATAGCATGTAAAGGTAATTTATTTTACTAAAAGTGGCAATAGTAGTTTTTAGTTTAAAAACAAATTTAACAAGCATTATCATTCACCATTGCAGTAAGATGCGGAAGGAGAAAATAGTGAACCATAGAAAGCCAGTGCGAGTTTCCTTTTTGAAACTAAATCCTTTATTTGGCTCTGTCGCAAAACACCACTTTTTACCATTTGCAATTTTTAACTGTTTTGGGAAGAGATTGTGGACAACAAGACGTATATAAAATTCAGAAATCCGACAATTAAAAATGTAATATAATTATGTATCTGAGCAAAATAAGTTTGCCAATTTAGGTTTTGATAACTTAAAGAACCTTGCGACTAAAATGTATTTTTTTCCTAGTATAAGAGCATCTATGTTTTTTTTCTACTTGGAGTAAGAATGAATGTGTCTATCTAAGAGATAACGTATCAAGCGAAGTTCAGATCAAGAGTCTACATAAATACTATTGTAAAAATTTACTTGAGTCATCTGGAAAAAAATTTTTAAAAGACGAGTTATCAAATTTTGGAAAGAATAAAACTTCTAATTACCAACGGCAGTGAAAACTTTGTTATCGTCTGTCAACAGATTTGTATAGCGCAAAATCGGATGACTGTCTATCTGGAGGTTCTATATTCGTCGAAGAAATGAAGCGGAATGTTGCACGTTTTCGTTTCTACTATTACCAAGTTGGGTTTATAAGATCCCTGCATTTTTGATCTTTAAGCGGCTATATTATAAAAGACTTATGAATTCTTCCGTCGATAAGGCAAAAAAACGTGAAAACAATGCAAAAACTTTTGATCGGCGGACACTGTAACTGGGTTTCTCAGCCACTACCTTGCTGTTGTAGTGAAATTTTACAATGCAGTTTTTTTTGAAAAGACTTAAGAGAAACAGACTCAGTAAACATAAAAAGAAAAAAGTTGTTTCAATCAGTGTGGTAAAAGTAATTTTTTTATAATTTACTTACAACAATTTAGGAATTTTAGGATGAAATTGAGAAATCTGTTGAAGTGACAGTTGTAAACATTAGTCTGTTAACGATCTTACTTTGTTCTATTTAGCACTAAATCTGCTGATCAAAAAACCTAATGTAACTAAATTGTACTGAGTATTTAGTGGATAAAGAAAGGACTTAAAAGACTGGTTGCAAAAAAGTTCTCGTTAGTACTGAAATTGAAGTGCCTGACGAACAAGTGATATAAATGTTTTATTATTCGACAACGTTCCTTCTGTATCAACAGTTTTTGTTCCTTTTTTGAAATTATCAATAAATGTTTATATAAGGCTATTGTTTTTGTTCTTAAGAACTGTGACCTGTTGTTATTGCTTTTAATTTTTTAATATTTTCTTATTATATTTGAATAATAGTTGTTGGAGAGTAATATTGTTGTTGTTTGTCTATTGCTATTCTTAGACACGTTTTTCTGTTAGATCTTTTTTTTCCGTATCATTCTTACATAACGTATAAAGTATCAATATGTTCAAATAAATGTTTTTCTGAATAAACTTTTTTTCTGCTAGTAACTACGCTATTGTCTCAAACATAAATTGTTCTTAGGAAAATTACTTTTTTGATTTGTTTTATTGTTGTCAATAAAAAAAAAAAAGCTTAAATTATTGTAAAGTTTTTCGAATTTTCGCGTTTGTTAAAGTTTTTTGCTGGGTTTTAAAGCCTTAAATATGCAAAAAATAAATAATTATTTTCTTACTTATTAATGCAGTCTTTTGATGATCACTCTGTTTATTTTTGGTGTCATAAGCTTACTGAATAGATGATAAAATTTTTTTTGCGATACTGTGTAAAGAAAAAAATTAGAAGCATGGAAAGGAAGAAACTGTTGGTCAACATTTTATATTAGCATATATTAAAATTTGCATTCTATTTTTCAAACATAATAAATCAGACTTTTATACTGATTTTTTTTTCTAAGCATTCTCAATAATGATTAGTTGAGTATTTTAAATAGATATATTAACAGTTTAATTTTAAAGTGACAATTTTTTAAAAATCAAAAACTTTTGTTTTTTCTTTCGTTTTGCAAAAAAAAAGAAACAGTTCTAACTGAGAAAATATTAAAAAGTGAAATATCAGTAATGCCTACTGTAAGCCAATAACGATTATATGGCAAACAGTTTTTCTAAGATTATAATTCATTTAAGGCGGTATGACTGTTACGTTGACCACCGCCCTGTAAAACGTCTAAACAACTTTAATAAGACTGTAGTCTGAAAAAGAACTTCTAAAGATAAGCGACTACTAAAAAAATTCTTATCATAGTCTGTCAAATACAGAACAAAAACGTTTGATTAGTTGTTAATAAATACTTTCACT